CCCCCCAGTCCTTTTTGGCTCTGGAAGCCACTCACCCTCCCCGTGGATGGAGGAGAAGCGCTGGGCTTATTCCCAGCATCTCCCTGGCAGTGGGGGGCCACAATGGATGGCTGGAGTATGATTTCCCACGGCACATTTGCAGAAGAGGTTTTCGTGCTGCCTTGCAGACTCCACCAGTGACGTGTTTGGATGATTTGCTGTTGCCTTTGTACGCTATCAGCATAGCGCTGGGGCACTTAACTGTGCCCTGCGTTACTGTAAGCAGCCCAAGCACCTTTCTGCCTTGTTTGAACACAGTGCAAGCTTGTTTCCTCTGAGATCCTGACAGCTCCTGAGACAGGTTGGATTCACAACCGTGTAACAATCCGATCGTGCATCAGACCGATAGCAGGATTCCCACCAGGTTGCAGAGAGCAGGCTCCGCACAGGTCTGTGGTTCCCGAGGCTGATGTGTTCTTGGCAGGAGATGGGGCATCCTGGCTCTGGTGTCATGTACTGGTGACACAGCCACGGTGCGTCCAAGTCAGAGGGCACCTGTCTTGAAGTGAGACATAGTCTGAGCTCAGAATCACTCTCTGCATCCGCCTGAGTCTCACGGGGAGAAAAACGTCTTTTAAACGTAAGCTGCTGTATCTGCACGTCAACAAACATCCAAGTCTGTGCTACCAGTGAGTCCATTCTCAGACAAGGGAACTCCTCACCTTTAACTCCTGTTGAAATCAGTGATACAAAAACCTACAGTCAAACTTAAGCATTAATTTGTTTGCTTCGCTGAATATTTGCTTTGCATGTCAGATAAGTGATACAAGCTACTCTCTTTCCATGTGTAACATTTCTGTTCTGATCTTTGAAGAACAGGCTGACTTCGGAGAACGTCTAGGTCAACCAGAGCAAAGGAGGTAATTAGCAGATCCGCCTGCCTGAGCGTTAACTTGTTGGACACCCTGCCAGAGTTTGAGAAAGGGATTTTTATTGCCAGAAATGACTGCTTTGTACTCCAGGTCGTTTTAGTGGCAGCAGGGAATGAATGGTTATTAAGTAAGACATAGCTGATCTCATGTACTGCATAGATGATATTATTCTACTTTCCTCAAAATGAGTGTGATGCTTTGCATTCTTGATCATAAGTAAAAAACTGCAATATTTTTAGCAGCAGAATTCCCCAGAATTACTGAAAGTAATTACTTGAAAGCCAAATCAGGATCATTATTACACCACCCCATCCCCAAATAAGTGTTTTTGACTTCACGTTGCAGTGCAATCATTCAAGTTACTGATTAGTTCTACATAATTATTGTTTTAGCAATCTTCCAAACACAGCCATATTTGGCTGTGAGTACTTCGGGGCCCTGAGGCCTCATGGCATTTAGATCAGTCCCTTAATGTTGCCTCCTAGGGCTGTGTTGCAGATCGATGGTGCCTTGGTTCACCCCACTGGTGTCTTGGTTGTACGAAGCATTCACTTATGGGACCTCTTCGTGTTTTAAATAGACGTGTCAGGGAACCTGCATGTCAAGAAATGAAGTGTACCGGGAATAGCTCGAGGAATCCCTTTAACCAAGAACGCAGACAGTGGAGCTGCTAAAAACCATCCTTCCCAGTTTGGGAACGGTTGAGACGTTTCAGGAGCAGTGCAGTGATGTGCCTTTAATCAAGCTGCATGCTTGGTCTCCTCCTAGTCTGTGCAGGTACCACTTTGCACAGGGGTGCTGCCCCAAAAGCAGTGTCTTCTGAGCTGACCCTTCCCTTTCTTGAAAACCTCAGAAGCAAACAGCTCACTTAAGTTGTGTCTGACACAGTGTTCGGGAAGCTAAAGATTTTCTTGGCAATTTAGCCTGCGAAGAAGCATCTCCAAGCAAACACGACTTTTCAGTGTATAATAAAAAACAGCTGTTAAATACTCTTCCCTTCCCCCTTCCTTTCTTTCCTTACACTCTTGTTTGACAGGCTCAGTCTCAGTGGCCGATGGCTCTCTTTCCCACCATGGTGATGTGTCTGGCAGTATTTTTGAGTAGCTTTAGGCGATTCTTGACGCTTACTTGGCCATACGTTAGAATATATTTCAATAAGAAGAAAAACAGGTTTTGGAGCAAAGCAAGAAAAAATTGTCAAGCTGGAGAGAAAAAATTGCAGTTATAATCCCTCTGTTCATGGCCTCAAAGGCAGAGTCTGAGAATTGTCAGCACATTATAGATAACCTTCATTTCTGTATGTGAGTCCCTGAGATTATTGTTGTGTAGAGTGTGATTATTCCAGGTAAGTTACTTCTTTTCTATTTGCGAAACTGCTGTTTAAGAAGATTGTAGGTTATTTTCTCTATGTGAACTAAACAATAGATTCTTATGCGTGTGCAGTGTAGTTAGGAAAAGTGCTTAACTGAATGCGATAAAAGTCTAATGAATGTCTGTTGTGCTGGAGTGAATGCTAAGGAAAATCCTAGCTGAGTTTTAAACTCTTTTCTTTTCATAGGGAATGCAGTCGGATTTTTGGTGAAGATGGTCTGACGCTGAAACTCTTTCTTAAAAGGACTGCTCCCTTTTCTATTCTGTGGACTTTGACTAACTACCTGTATTTACTGGCTTTAAAGAAGCTGACAGCCACAGACGTCTCTGCCCTATTCTGTTGTAACAAAGCTTTTGTCTTCTTGCTTTCTTGGATTGTGCTGAAAGACAGGTTCATGGGAGCAAGGGTAATGACATGCCTGATTTTCAACTCTCTCTTGTTTTCATAATTGCCCTTAAATCCGTAAGCTATTGTGCTGCCATAGCACTGCTGCATTATGGTATGTATATACCATGAAACCATTTCTCATTTAATTTTATGATGCAAACCTAAGCCTGAAGATCACTTAGAGATCTCGGACTCTAGAGGTAATATGATGTGGGAATTTCAGGCAGCTATTACAGCTAAGTGTCATTTGATGAATTAGAACAGGAGGACTTCCAGTTCATATAAACCTATTCTGTCTTGGGTTACAGTGATAAAGTACAGTCAATGAATTTTATTTTAAACATAGTGATGAATGCTTACATTCTAACCAAAGCAATTTTATTCCTTCTTTAGGTAGATAGCTGTTTTCAGTATGTAATGTATTTTTCTTATGACACCCTATTTTACATACACATAAATGCATACATGTGTGCATGTGCCAAATACAGATGAAAAGGGACAGCAACTGTTTTGCATGAAGGTGTATTTTGCACTAAAGTGTTACAGGATTCACTGGCAGTAATATGGACCCTGCAAAAGGAAAGAAAAGAACGCAAGCAAAATGATACGCACCTGGACCACGGGGAAAGCAAGAATGTTTCCTGCAATTTCACATACACAAATCTCCTAATACGCAGCAATTTAAATTGTTGACTTTATACCTTGCCTAAGGAATAGCTAGGCCTTCTGCCAGTTGTGCTGATGAGGATTCCCCCGTGGAAATGGCTCGAGGCCTAATAGTCATGTTGGGTACAATCCCGACTGAACTATCAGGAGCCTTGAACTTCATTAGGAACTGGTTGTGGCCAAGTGTGATGCCTGTGACCAGAAAGGGCCACCAGCAATTGGATCTAAGTTCCATGGAAAGTAGGATGGATCAGGACACTCAGCTGAGTGGGTTAGGTTTTTAAAAAATGAGGGCAGCAGTTTTTTTCAATTAATAATGTCATAGAAGGGTTCAGAAATGAAAGGAAAAGGCATCCTGTTTCACAGGCATCTGATCTAGCTCTTGGAGCAGACACCAGCACGCTGAAGGGAGCACTGTGCTTGGGGTTTGGGAATGGAAGAGGAAATGGTTTAAAGTAAAACAGTTCCTCTAATTTCCCGGTGAGACAGGGCTGGCTGGGCAATCAGTAATGGCACGGGACCTGAGCACCTTGTGCTATCACACAAGTGAGCTCTTGGGTAGGGATCTGGCAGGAGGGTTTTGTTGGACCTGCTCAGTGGAGGGTCTGTCTAGACCAGGCAAAGTCGAGGAGGTGAACCCGTGTTTCACAGACTTTAGTGCCCTTGAAGGTAAGGAGACGGACATGTCATCTCGCAGTGCTGAAGCCAGACACCTGTATATCTATTTCATATACAATTTAGAATATGGAAGCGTCAGGTGAATGTGACCTACCCTCAGCCTGATGGTGACTAACTAAGCAGGGTTTGAAATCCTCAGTTCTTCTCCACAGGAACGGTAATTTCTGAGGATGTAGTTCCCTCCTCTGGCCCTTGATCCATCTCAGCTTCCAGCTGTTACTACTCACTTGTGTAAGATGATACTGAGTCTAGCTGAAAAAATAGGAAATTTTAATCCCTTTAAGTTAATTTTTGCCTAAAAGCCACCTCTTCCTAGAAAATACAGCTATTGTATTCTCCTAGCCTACTTTCTTTAAGAAACCTAGATGAGAAATACTAAAGCTATTTTCAGTTATTTGTTATTTTTCACTGACTAAAAAAACCCGTTGCTATAAATATGCATTAGTATTAATGCTGTAAACACCGTGAGGTTTGCACAAGAGAAAACTGGCAGAAGACGTGAACATCAAGTCCTGCACATAAAAGAAACTGGTTTTGCTCCTAACTGGCAGATTCTGGATGCACAGTGCTGGAAAAGGTAATTAGCAGCATTTTCCAGTAGCTTTCCTGCCAGGATAACACTTAATGATGTTAATAACCACGCAGGAGAGTGCTTGAGAACTAAAATACGACAAAGCGGCACGGACCCCGCCTTTTATGCTTTGAATGCCTTTACTGCTTTCCCCCCCCAGCCTCTCAGAGAGCAGGTGTAATTAGGTTATTTGGACAGTAAGGGGATGAAAAGAAATAAGGGCTTAATCATGTACTCTGAGCCAGTGGTTTTGCAAAAGCACTCGGCACCCAGGAGCACAGCCAAGTGTTTCAAAGGAAAAACTCTTCCGGAGCTGTCGGGCACGTCTGCGGCGCATCGGAGGTGGGGCCGCACCC